GTTGATAGATCTTCCACCAATCTTGACCCCACATTTCTCCTCATAGAGCCCAGCCTCCCAGATAATCTGTTCTGCATACAAGTTGAAAAGGTATGGAGACAGGATACATCCCTGGTGTATGCCCTTCCCAATTTTGAACCATGCAGTATTCCATTGCTCTGTTCTGACGACTGCCTCCTGGCCCAAGTATAGGTTTCGCGTTAGAAAGATCAAGTGTTCTGGGATTCCCATTCTTCTCAGTCAGCCACAGTTTGTTATGATCCACACAGTCAAATGCCTTTGCATAGTCAATGAAACACAGTTATACATTCCTCTGGTAGAAAGCTATAAAAAAGTTTCCAAGATTATATTGCAATAGAATAATCGTTTCCCGGAAGATTCACACCACCAGAGATTCACAACCTTTCAATTAGCAGCACAATTCACAATGTGTTTAAAATTACCTCTGTATCATATGCCATGTTTTTCTTGTGTGCCTTCAAGTTGATTCATAGCAACCCTATGCATAATAGCTCTGAATTCTGTCCTATCCTGAGCCAATCTCACTGTTTCCTCTATGCCTGCCTCATAATCCTGGTTACTGTATCAATCCAACCCATCCAGGGTCATCTTCTCCTGTATTGTCCTGCCATCTTCCCAAGCTGATGTCCTTCTCCAAGGACTGACTGGTCCTTTCTGACAACATGTTCAAATAAGTGTGAGGAAGCTTCAAAATCCTTGCCTCCAATGAGAAGCTTCGTCTCATCTTCTCCAGGAAAGATCTATTTGTTCTCTTGGCAATCCATGGTATATTCAATGGTCTAGGATCAGTGATTAAAATCCTATGTAGGACACAATATTCCTACCACTTCAAAATGGACCACCACTGTTATGTTGCCCTCTTGGTTCCATGTGCTATAGAGATGAGCTCTTCAGTCTCAACAATTAAGAGGATGCAGTATATCTTTTTCCCTCTGCATTTCTGCCCTAGGGAATATGTACTTTATGAAGCATTAATCTATCACAGCCTTGTGAACAATGTTGAGACTCTTGTCCTGACCAGAACAAGCGGCAGCCAAGAAAGAAAGGTATACATTTTGATGGTTGGTCCTAATTGCACAGTTTCTCGGCATTTTTATTTTAGCAAATGGTTAAATGAACTTGGAATGAAATCTTAGAAAACTGAGAATATTTTAAAACTTATTTTTCAGTCTCTTATTTGGCATTTGCTAACGTAAAGATATTTTTGTTCTTTCCATTATGTTTGAAGACTCTTGTGGTTTGGATCAAGATATTCCAGGAGTTTAGAAAAACCTCTTTTCTCTGTGTATAGACTTTTCTATTACTCTCTTGGAGCAACTCTTTGTACTCCAAAAACTCCCTTTCCTTCAGCCCAATTTTTCTCTTACTGAATTCTTTTCCTTCCACCCCTTGTAAACACCAAAGGTTTTTTCTGTGTAAATCTTTCCTTGATGTTGTAGTAGACTCATCCAACACTTATCAAGTTGTAACTGACTTCATTCAGCACAACGTCCTTCAGGTTCATCCACATTGAGGTCTCCATGCGTTCTCAATTGCATGGTGTCACATTGTGCTCGTGCCATAGTTTATCCATTCATCCATTGGACACTTGGGTTATTTCTATCTCTTTTATTCCAAATAATGCTGCAACAAAGTATGCCTATACCTGTGTCCTGGCTTCTGTTGAAGATAGTGGAAGGATTTCTAATGGCTTGGTTCATACGACACCTGTGGTTTAAATCCACCTGCTGCTCCACAGGAAGGTGAGCAAACTCCTGTGCAATTTACAGCCTCAGAGAAACCACTGGAGGGTTATCTGTAAGTTTGAGCTCAATGGCAATGAGAATCTTAAGCATAGAATTACTGGATCAAATAGTATTTCTAACTTCCCAAGTTGTTGTTGCTGGCAATGAGCACCACAGAGTCAGAATTGACCCAAAGCTGACCCTATGGGTTTTTTTCAGAGGCAGTTAATCACACTGGAGGAGATTATTCATCCTTCTCCCACGGAGCAGCTGGTGGCCTTACCTGCGTGCCTTTGGGATTACAGGGAGAACCATAAGTACCATTTTTTTACAGTGGCTATGCCATTTTAGTCTAACAGTATTAGGATTCCAGTCTCTCCACACCATCTCTAGAACTTGTTTTTTCTCCTTGATTGTTGCTTGGATAAGACGGTATCTTACTGTTTGGGCTGATTTCTCTAATGGCTAATAATGGAAAGCATTTCTTCATATTCATCTAAATACCATTAGTATTTTTATCAATAGAATTTTTCTGTTTGTTGAGGTGTTAGTTTTCTATAATAGAGATTAGTCCCTTGTCAACTGTCATTGTCAAATATTTCTTCCCAGACTGTAGGTTCTTCTACCCCTCTCTAATTAAAAGACCAAACTTGAGTATTTCAATAGTACTCCCAGATAAAATAGTGGGGTTACAGAAGAAGGTTCCATTGATACTACCACAGTGAGAAGTAAATATTGAGATATAATGCTGATTAGCTCTTCGAATGTATAGAAAAATATTCATGTATATCTCAGTGTAAACAAGGAGACATTCAACAGAGCAAATACAAGCTCTTGAACCCCTGAAACACTAGACTGTCCTAAGAGGTGTAGAAATGCTTAACAGAGTTCAATTCTTAAAAACAAACAAAAAACCCATTCTAGGAAATCAGCCTTGGCCAAAAAGAGGTCTAGATATGGGTTTGGAACTTATTCTAAACATTCTAAAAGGCAAGTTTCCTTGTTGCTGAAGTTGGATCTGGCACCAGAGAAACTTTGACACATCTTTGTGTATAAGTTGAACAAGTGAAAAGGTGGCAGCCAGTGTGTATCAAGCTCTTGCAGACATCCCTGCCATCCGTTGTGTTCTCAGAGGAACTACCTGAGCTTCCACAGGGAGACTTCAGGGTTGAGGTCATTCCTTTGTTACATGGTGTTGAAGTTGTTTTTTGTTGAATAAAGTGACAAGTCTGTCTTTGACAATGCTGTCTGGCGGGAGCCTTGCAGTTTCTAATGAATCCTAGACAGAGATCAGGTACTGACCAGAGTGAACCTCTTTCCCATTCTCTTGTCTGAGTTTCCTTTGGTATCTACAAAATTCTAAGAATACTTCAAACTGCTGTGTAGTTGCTTCTTCTGAGGGCAGAGAACAGGAGCGAAGAGATGCTGGCCAAGATTCAGCCAGGCACCTGACTCCAGAAATATAAACTGTAGGTTTTTACTCTCACGGAGAAGACTTTATGAGTTAAGAACTTAATTTTAGAAGTACTAGCCATTTACTATTTGAATTTGTTATGTTTGGTAGTCTATACCATGAATTAGGGGCCTTATGTTTGCTTTTAGTTTATTGTGGATTTACATCAGGTCTTCAATCTCTTTTGAGGTAGTCTTAGTATATTATGTGAATTGAATCTGTTTCAGCTGAATAATGACTGAAGTCTTAAAACCTTACAAGCAGGCCTCTCCTCATTTTTTTTTTCAAGGAGGGAGTTTCATCCCTTTGAGTTATGTTGTTGTTGTTGTTATGTGTCGTCGAGTCATTTCCGACTCATAGCGACCCTATGCACAACAGCCCTAAACCCTGCTCAAGGAACTGAAGAACAGATTCAAACCTAGATTTGCTGTCATCAAGGATGCTTTGGGCAGAATATTAAATGATTCAGGAAGTATTAAAAGAAGATGGAAGGAATATACTGAGTCATTATATAGAAAGGAATTGGCAGATACAGAGGAATTTAAAGAAATAACATATGAGCAAGAACCTTTGAGTTATACCTTTCCTAATGTTTTTTATTTTTTTGCCTTAAAAGCTTAAGAGGGGTCATCTAAGGGGTGACAATTGGTCTCTCCTCACTTAAAGAAAAGTGAATAAAATCAAAGAATATTAACCCAAAGTCCTGATAGGCCACAAGAACTACTGCCTCTACAGCTTTGTGACCAGAATAATTGGGAAGTACCTGACAATTGTTGCATGTTTTTCTGAAGGGGGTCACCATATAAAGTTGGAAAGAAATGAAGAACAAATTAATAGTAAAACATCAGCTTGTGATCTGATAAACTAATTTGGTGAAACCTCCAAAACCTGTGATTCATCATAGAGGCCTGTAAACATAATACCAAAGAGGGATATTCAAACATGCAAAATTAAACAGACAGCATTTTCTGCAGATAAAAAACTCAAGTCAGGAAAGGGGATGGTGGAGCAATGGGAACAGGAAACTCCACTAGGAAGTGGGGAGAGATCTGCTAGAATGTGGAGAGCGACTGTAATCAATGTCATGGAATATATATCACAAACTGTAGCTTCAGAAAACCTATCGGGCAATTATACTGTTGTAGTGGGTTGCTACGAGTCTGAATCAAATTTACAGTAGTTGTACCTTTTCACGAGAACTTACCAAAGTAAAAATGTATTTTCATATCTGAGTATGTTTTCTAATTATGATCCTGAATTTCTAAAACCCAAATGTTCATTTTCTGGTCATAGAAATAATCCTCTTCTGTGTGGGTCTCTTCTGACGTTCAGCTCTGAGAATCAGAGCCAGCTTCTGGTCGCCGGCTGTCTACTGCTCTTTGGCTGCTGGTCTTCACCGTCCTCTGCCGCATCAGCCTTCCAGCCTACTCTCTGCTTCTGACGTGGGGGATTTAGAGGAGACTCCAGCTGACGCCATATTGAAAGGTTTGGAACCTGATAGACTTCTGCAAAGTAATCGAAGACGCCAAAAGCCCATGACATCCGTTCTGGCAGGAAGCTCAGAGGAGGGGTTAAGCATCTGACTAGCTGAAGTTGGGCACCTCAGAGGACAGCCTCAGACCCCGCAGACCCATCCCATCTTCCCAGGTGCTCTGTTGGTCGCTCTGCTGGTCCTGAGATTTCCTCTCCCTCTGGAGCTTGAGAACTTGCACTCAACCTTCTGACCAGGCTGATGCTGACAAGACTGTGAGCTGACACGACATCCAAGAATCTGGGACTTGGGCTCTCGACACCATTGGAAAATGGAAAAGCAGGAGAGCTGCATGCCGCCCAGACTCGTGGACCTGGCCGCCCAGAGCCTTTTAGAGGATGAAGCCGCTGCTGTGGCCGCCCTGCAGTCACTTCCCAGAGAAAGTTTTCCGCCCCTGTTCGTGTTGGCTGTTGCAGGGAGACGCTGCAGGACGGTCCAGGCGATGGTGGAGGCCTGGCCGTTCCCCTACCTCCCTCTGGGGGCTCTGCTGAAAGCTCTCCCTCTGGGGGCTCTGCTGAAAGCTCTGGGGTGTCATAAGGACATCTTGAAGGCAGCCCTCAATGGCATCGATGCGCTGCTAGCCCGTGACTTTCGACCTACACGTTGGAAACTCCAAGTGCTGGACCTCAGAAGCGACGCTGAAACCAACTTCTGGCACGTGTGGGCTGGGCTTGGGGACAGGGTCTCAGCGAGCCCCTCACGGGAGAGTGGGGCTGCGCAGCCCAGCCCAGAGAAGCGCGGAGTGGGACCCTCCAGCCCAGGGGAGAAGCAGCAGTTCGCCTCCACGGAGGTACTGGTGCTGCTCTCAGACCTGTGCTTCATGAAGCCCCCTGTAGATGCCCTGCTTCCCTTCCTGGTGAAGAGGGTCAAGCAGAACAAACTTATCCCCCGACTGCGCTGTAGGAAACTGGAAATTCTTGATGAGCCTCTGGAAAACTCTATTATGCATATGATCTTGGAAAAGGTCGAGCTGGCTCGTGTGGAGCAGGTAGAAGTGAACTGTAAGTGGAATTTGGTTGACCTGGCTTTGTTTGTTCCTTTTCTGGGTCAGATGATTCATCTGAATAGACTGTTTCTCAGTGGTATCCAGGTTCACGCCTCGATCTCAAGAAAGGTAAAAAGGCTTTGGGCCAAATTCACCACCCAGTTGTCTAAACTGCAACAACTTCAGCATCTCGACCTCGACTTCATGCGCTCTCCGGCAGGTCGCCTACACAAGATGTTCAAGTACCTACTACCTCCCTTGGAGAGCCTCTCTATAACTAACCGTGGCCTGATGGAGTGTGACTTGAAATACCTGTGCACGTGCCCAAACACTAGCCAGCTCCGTCGCCTGGATCTCAGCGACCAACAGCTGACATATTTTAACCCTCACTATCTTCACACTCTGCTGGAGAGAACCTCTGCCACCCTGGAACACTTGAACTTAGGTGGGTGTAAAATGACAGATTTCCAGTTCACCACCATCTTGCCTGCCCTGGGCCAATGCTCCCAGCTCCACTGCTTCAGGTTCCCTGGAAACACCCTCCCTATGGCTGCCCTGGAGAACGTTCTGAGGCATGTCCTCCTTCAGCGCAAGATCCGATCCCTAGAGATGTCCTTCCCTGTGGAGTGCCAAAGGATTAGAAATTTGAGGGCTTTTGAGGACTGGCAGGACATGCTTATTATGATAGAGGTGGACCTAGGGGTGCAGCTAACGTGCTTCGAACCTGACCTGGAGCCCTGGAGAAGTTGCTATTCAATTTGGTTCGATGTACAGATGTGATGTTATTCCCCGCTTTCCGATGTGTTGTCCATCTCAACCTCTTTCTGTCCTTTTGATCTCTTCTGAGATGACAGAAAAAATGTGCTTGCTGTGAGATGTGACTTGATCACCCTAAAATCATAGCCTTAAAAAAATAAATTTGTTATTGGCAACCAAAAAAAAAAAAAGAAATAATCCTCATTCCTGATTGGTACTACTTTTTAAAAAGATATCTTTGTAAGAAAAGGAGTGAAAAATGTGGATATTACTTAGACTGACTTTCATAAAGGCTTCTAGTTCACCCAAGAAATTAGTGTGTGTTCTTCCCCCTTGGTGATCTTGTATTGACCAGATCTGTCACATAAAGCTCTTGAAGCATTTTCTGTTTGTTTTTAAAAAAGTGTGGTGGTCTTTACTAAGGCTTTAGGAATGTAGTTTGATTTGAGGTGGATTTGACCATTAAAAAAACTTACCAATAGGCTTTCTTTTTGCTGCCTTGTCAGCATTCAACCTACTGGGCGTATGTTTTTTTATGCCCCATTCTGTTTCCACTGCCTGAGTACTAATTGTTGTGTACCATGGAGTCAGAACAGACCCATAGCTGACCCACAGGAGGGTTTTCAGATGCAGTTAATTGTGTGGGAGACTTCTCATCCTTCTCCCACAGACCAGCTGATAAATTCAAACCACATGCCTTTGGGATTGCAGCACAGTTTCTTATCACTAGACCACCAGAGCTACTAGTAGAAATAAATTTTATTTCTGTAAGTTGCTTTGTACTGTTAAAACATGGTTTCTCTCTTATAAAGTGTGATGGTCAAGGAGGTGGCAGTGTCTGAGCTCTCCAGACTTCATAAAAGGAAAGAGTCCTCAACAGTAAGAAAAAAAAATTCCTGAGGTCAGACATATTGACACTAGCCACACCTTCCTACAATTGCCACTGTCATCCCTCCCAGGTCTCCCACTAATCTGTATTTAATAATTTCACTGCTGTGACCATGCAGAACTCAGACAAGACTTAATGACTATGAGGTTTATTAGGAATGTAACAAGTTAACATTTCCACTTGAGAACATTCAGCATACAATCCTTTAATTGGGACATCCTCTTCCTAAGTGTGCTCAGTGACGGGTCTCTCTGAGCTCTGGTCTCAAGGCCTTGGCATCTGTTCCAGCCAGACAAGTGTTACAAAGCTTTTGATTTTACTAGTTAGTGTACCACCTGACTCTAACATTAACTCTATGTGTGAAGATGCTAGCTTTAAGATTAGCATATGATTCTCCACCCAAAAGGTGCCCAGAAGCACCCACTTTGCCTGTATATGCTCACCTGTCTAGTTCTGTGCACCAGGAGCCTAGAGCTCTCTTACTGTTCTCTGGTTTCCCCATCTGTTGTCACTGCAGCGTTAATATCTCTACAGCTATCTGTTTTGCTGTCAATTTATCTGGTTTGTCCATGCACTGCATTCTGATTCCTTTCTTGATGGTAATGAGTCTCATTTTGTCTGAGTCTGCTCAGTTTAAGCCTGGAGAGATGACAAAATTAACTTATCTGCACATTAGCATGATACACACCTTATTTGCATAGAATTCAAAGTCAATTTGGTACCAGCAGTCAGGAGATGAGGAGACATAATACCTGGGAAAAGTCTACAATCAGGCACTTTTCCAAATTATTGAGGAGCAGTGATGTTAGTTTGAGGAGTAAGGTACACCTGACTTGGGCCATGGACTTTTCAATCACTTTCTGTGCATCTGAGTGCTAGACAATGAGTAAAAATTACTGAAGAATCAACACCTTTGAATTGCGGTGTTGGAAAACAGGAGTGAATGGACTGCCAAAAGAGGAAACAGATAATGTCTTGGAGAAGGTGCAGTTAGTGCTCCTTGAAGGCAAAACTTCATCTTACATGCTTTGAGCATGTTGCTAGGAGATGCTATTTCTTGGAGAAGGACATCCTACTTGGAAAGGTGGGGAGTTTGCAAAATAGATTCCTTTCAACCAGGTGGAATGATATAGTGACTGTTAGTAACGGGTTCCAGTGTGTCAGATTGAGGATAGTACAGGATACAACAGGGTTCATTAATGTTCATAGTCACTCTGAGTTATACTTGACTCAACAGCACCTAAAAGCAACTACAAATCCAATGACTAGAAAAACCATATTTAATAAACCATTGTAGCATATCCACACAACTGAATACTTTTGTATGGCCCAAAAAACATAGATGTTTTCATTCTTGCTAAGATTATAGTAGACTAGATTTTCACTCCTGGCCCAATTGGCAGTATCATGATGAAGAGGAGATTGAAACTGTTAACAATTATAGCTTGCTTGGCTCCACAATCAACTCTTGGCACCAGCAGTCAG